AAATTTGGTATCGGCTAGCCGGTCAGCTAAGCCGATCTAGTCGACTATCATCGACTACGGCTATAGCCGGTCAGCTAACCGGCTATAGCCTAACAGAACCCATCCCTAGTATCATGCAATCTCGATATGAACCTGATTTGAACGGATATTTGAGGATACAAATGGGGTTCATATAGGCATACAATACATATCGGAATGCCAATAGCTCTATTAATAAATCGAAATCTCCCCACCACTTCTGATTGGTTCTACTAATTATTCACATATCAGAGTATCTGTGCTATTAATTAAAATTTATAAAATTTATAGTACTCTGATAATTAAGTGGCGGGGAAATTAGTAAACCCAGCTATCGGCATACCGATATGTATTGAATGTCTATATGAACCAGTGTTTCGGCTTAAACCTCCCCCAAAGTCTGAAACATTTCGCCCAGACGAATTTTAGTTTCCCCTATAAGTCCGAAACCCTCCGAAACTAGTTTCGCCCAATTTGATCTGCATATAATCTGCAAAATCGGATTTCGCCCGAAACACTGATATGAACCCGTTTGTATCATATATAGGTCTCCAAATATCTTTCAAATCAGGTTCATATCGGATTATATGTGCCGATTGGAGCTCGATTTGCCTTCACTCGACTTGTGTATGGTGTGGGTCACCTGATCAGTCTGGTATGGGTGTACTATAAACCATCCCATACTAATACTGGTCAGTATGATACGGTTTATGGTTTAAAAATCATACCACACCAATCAGATATTATAAGAGATCCTATAAAAATTTTTCAAAAAATGTATCCCGATTTTCTTCAGATTATAATTCCACTATCGTTCCGGGAAATGATCATTTTTCGGAACAAAACATACACAAATTCTTGGTCATTCCCATAGAACTATGATAAATTCTGGGTAAAAATGAAATCTGGGTAAGATTCGGCCTCTAAATATAATGAAGTACAAAAGATTAGAAGCCGAATCTTACCTGAATTCGATTTTTTCCTGGATTCTATGGGAATGACCAAGAATTTGTGTATGTTATGGTCCGAAAAATGAGAATTTTCCGGAATGATAGTAGAATGATAATCTGGAGAATATCGGGATACGTTTTTTGAAATTTTTTTATAGATTAAATTATTATCGAATAGTTTTTTGTTGAAATCAGCTCTTGATTGTGTGCCTGGTTGACGGCATTAATTATCTAAAAATTTGCACCAACTAATAAATAAAGTACAAATTATAGTAAATTTTTAATATCATATAAGCGTGAGTTAACGCTCTTGGGATCAAACAAAAACTTGATTTTCAAGTTTTTGTATCTATCAATTTACAATACATATTAGACATTAAATACAAATTTTATTTTAGTAAATTAACTGGCATCCGATCTTACTATAACTTCGTAGTAACTTATCATGAAGTTTAAAGTCAGATTAGAATAAAAATTGCTTTTGAATTAATGCACTATATTGTAAATCGATAGATTTAAAAGCTTGAAGATCAAGTTTTTATTTGATTTTGCCAAGTACTATCTTGGGCGTTATTTTGAAAATCGGGACATTAAAAAATAACTTGTATGGACTCGAATTAGCGTCCCGAATTGATGCGCATCCTAATGTAGCACATAATTTATTGTTGCGATAAATTATATGCGGTCGACACTCCATATGTGCACACTCTATAAGTGCCGAATTTGTGCTCATGGGCATCCCTAATTAACGCACATTCTAATACATAATTTTTGTTGTGATAAATTATATACTCTATAATTGCATTTCAATGCACTTTCCCTACAATGATTAGTACACTTAATTTGATCGTCTAATGTTATTATTTAATATTATAAAAGTAGATTATTATCCATAAATGAAATTTTATAAATGTACTTTAGGAAGGTTGATTGTATTGGATTTAGAAAATTTTCCTTATTTCGAAATAACGTACATGGCATATTCGAAATGACACACAAATGGGCGTTATCGCTTATACGGTAATATGGTATCATTATAGGGAAAGCACATATGAGTGTATTTATAGAGAATGTGTACATGAGTATCGTCAGTATGTCATTTGTTGCAACAATAAATTATGTGCTACATTAGGATGCGCGTTAATTCGAGACGCTAATTGAGTCCATACAAGTTATGTTTGGAGGTCCTGATTTTCAAATAACACCATGAGCAGTATTCGCGCTTATATGGTATTAAAAATTTATTATAAATTGTTTATTTATTGGTTGGCGCAAATTTTTGAATGATTAATGCCAACCTGACACACATTCAAGAGGTGATGCAATTCAGTATTTCACCAGCTATAACCTAATCAGTATCGTTTGGATTTTCAACAAAAGATTATACCATACTGATTTTATTCGATATAATATTAATTTATTATAATATCTGATCAGTATGGTATGTTTTTTAAATAATAAATCGTGACATACTGACCAGCTATTATACAATATATGATAGTTGATAAGTATGGGATGATTTATTGTACACCCATACCAGACTGACCAAGTCACCATACCATACCGATATTCTGTAATCCCCATTAGATGATACACGCATTAATCCAAATCATCCAGATACGTATCAAGATTTTCATATACAGATAATTATACAGGATAATCCAATTGGATTCAAGCACGAAAATATTTAGAGATTTAGAATTCTTTATAATTAAATTATTTTTGATCATTCGAGAAAATATGAGCTTAGAATTTTTTTGGCAAGATCATCGAGAAAATAATAAGTTTAGCATTTTTCGTCTAGATAAGAGTTGTTTTTTAAATTATCTAAAAATAAGAGAAGTTTAAAGTAGCTTAATTAAGGATAATTAACGTGTATTAAATAATAAATCCTCTTGTTTGTCAATTTTTTCAAAAAAAAGATAAAAATTTTTTTTAATAAAAAGGTTTCCAATCCCTGATAATTCAATAAATATAAATTCTAAATACGCGTATATACATAATACTTGATTTATAAGAAATTCTTTTAGAATTCCAAGTATTTCTCATCCGATCATGAAAATAATTCAAATTTATTCAATCCTCACTATATATCTTATACTCTTTGTGGCATTGCTGACTGATGCTAAACTCCAATGTGAAGAGGTATCTAGAGCGCTCAAAAGAAATGAACCTATTGATTATAATGTTGCTAAGAAATGCATTGAAAGTTTTACTTTTGATGCTAGGTTTGCTAATAAAGTAGTTATTAATATTTTGGATGTTATTATTTAAAACTTAGCATTAATTAATTTATGTATTGGTTTGTTTATTTTTAACAAAAGACCATTGATTCTGTGTTACACTTCATGCTAAATCATTATCCTTTCATTAACCGGGCCAAAAAAAAGCCACCAAGAGGATTTACTTATCAACCTGTGGACATAGCAAAAGAATTAAAGTTGTTACGTAAAAAAACTTTCAAATCAGATTATGACTTTCGGTATGCACATTATAAATAAACATGACTTATAGTTTTTAGTGATTAAACAAATGGTAATATAAAATTTTAAATTAACTAGACGGCTTTAAGAAATGCACTTTTCAAATTAAAAGATGGTCATACAAGAGTTACAAATCTTTGTTATCAGAATTTTGTTTATGATCAAAATTTAAATTTATATTCTGTGATTACAATCGATAAGAAAAAAAGAAAAAGCAGGTAAAAATAATTTCAGATATTCGCATCAATACTTATATAATATCAATTGTTATTATCATTGTTGATTTGTATTATTAAATTATCAAAATCAATTATATCGAACATAAAAGATAATTAAGGTAATTATATGGTTAATGTATACGGTCTATTAATGGGTTTGGGTCAAAATCCCGAATCAAAAAAAGTTTTTTTTTGAGCAATTTTACTATAAAATTGCTAAACCCTAGCCTAGGCGCTCACCCAGTGTTGGAAATCTTATGTTCTCATTCATCAATTTAGATTTGAGAACATTGAAAACATTTGATATTCTATATATGTTCTCTTTGAAAAAAAATTTGAGAATATGATGCTGAAAAAGCATGTTCATGTTCTCTAAGTATAATAGCAAAATTCCGAATTTACCCGAAAGGAAAATGAATGAACAATACGAGAAGGGTTGGGATAAAATTAGAACAAATGTCCGATTAAATGTTGAGAACATAAATAAAATTTTGAGAACATTAAATCAAATAAATATGTTCTCATGAGAACATAAATCTCAAACCAGATTTCAACACTGCGCTCACCCAACCCTAAACTAGACACTCACTTAACCCTAACCTAACTTAAATAGACTTAATAATTTTTGTTGTCGAATTGTCGGGATTTTGACCGGCACCCTTATTAATATACTGTAAATTCTCAAAATATCCGGCATGGGTGCTATTTTGAAGTATGGCCTAATTAAATTTAATTAGACCAATTACGGAATTACACCCTTGGGCATTATTTCGAGAATTTATAAATAAGTAACACTTGGTATAAAATCTTGATATAAAAATCCGGTCCATAATAGATACATATACACAATATAAGTTATTAATGAATAATATAAGTGATTTTATTACGAATGAGATACTTTTTATATTAAGAATTACTTGTATATACTATTGTGTTAATTTCATTAAATTATATGCTTTCTAATGAATAATTTTATTTATTCAAAGGTTTTCAACGATACACTAGACCATCAAATATTGACTGTGAAGTTACTAAAATTGGAGGAAAACCCGCGTTACAAGCAATGATTGACTTTGCAAATGATAAAATTGCATCTTCAAAAGATCTGGGTGTCCGATTTAATATGGCTTTGGCTCCTAGTATAGAAACGTTTTCACAAAAATTTACTTTACGAGAAGATTTTCCTGAAACACCTAGTATCACTTATAACTTAGAATGTCCAAAAAAAACACCTTTTACACTAGAAAGAAAATGGAATATTACATATAATAATGGATTTAATCTTTTTAATATCTTTTGTTTAGAACAAAATAATATTACTGCTTTTGCACTTAATGATAACTTTGCATCAAGTAGTAAAATTACAGAATTAGCAACAGCTACAAAATTAACATCAGGTGATAAATTTGTCAGCATCAAGTAATAAAAAGCAGAAAATTGAACATGCAAAATTAGTAGTCGAAGATTTTTACTTACTAGATGATGGAAAAAACAAAGTTGGTATTGCTGTAATTACTGAAGAAAAACAAAAGCTTGAAATTATACTAAAAAATGGTTTCCAAGAATTAAAAAATCGAGGTGCAAAAAAGTAAGAATTAAATAACAGTACTGTATTAACAGTATTAAACATGTATTATATACACAATGTTAACCTTTTGTATTTACTTCATATTTATATTTTTTTAGCTTATTTTAGATGTGTCAAATAATATTGGTGGAGATCTTACTGTACCGCTATTCTTAACTTCATTATTACTTTCACCAAAACAACCAAACTCATTTCCAACAGACAAAATAATTAATAATTTTACTATTCCAAAAATAGAAATAATTTTAATACAATTGGTCCTGATGACAATAATATATATAATCCGAATTTTTATTTGTCATTTCCGTCAGGTGATCACTTAGTAATGCTAGTGAGTTTATTGGATCTCGAGAAAAACGAACTTCAAACCTGTATCTTAATGCTTTGACATCTGATGAAGAGAAAATACTCACATTTTTTTCTGAAATTTATAATATTAAGACAATTGCCGTTGGTGGTCTTTTAGACACTCAAATGTCATTTTCCACTTTTCCTGGCGGTGAAGTTCAATCTCTTAATGTTATTTCAGAATTTTCTGGTGATAATGTTACTGATGTTCCAGGAATAAACGCACTTACTTTTACTATAAGAGAAGCTTACGATATTGACAAAAATGGTACTGTAAAAGACATATTAGAGTATTCATATAAACCCGCTAATTGTAGACTTTATTATTATTAGAATAATGCCAGGGATCCTAACTTATTATGGCCTGAAACTGCTAAGATTTTATACAATAAAACTTAGCTTTTCTAATGATTGTTTAATTTTTTATTAACAATTTATTAAACTAAAATATTCGTCTTCAAAAAGAATACATACATTAATATGCTTTTTAAGTAAATTTATTGAAATTTAAAGAGTAGTTTTATAAATTGTAATGGTTAAATTACGTTCATTGATTACAAAATCATCATTCTTTAATAATAAAGAAATTTGCCCTAGTTCGATAAAGTATTTTTTTTAAATATATATATTGACTACGATACTTAATGTGTGCTGTAATTTTATACTAGGCATGCATTTACAATATGGTTATGGAAACTCGTTCACACTCCGGCAAAAAGAAATCATCTTCAAATCCAGAGACTTCTGTCTCTAATTTTATTCCAATCCAAACAAGTTTATTATGTGATTTATCGTTGGAAAAAATCCGCATTTACATGAGTACATGTGTATATATCAACAAGATAAGGATCGCACTAATGCTGTGAGCATTGTGAATTAGATAGGCTAAAGTAATATAAAAGTCAGGGACCCGGTAAATTATCATTTTTATTTATGAGAATTTCAAATCCTGTAACGAAATCAATATTTTTCAGAGTCACTGATAAGAGTAGAGAAAAGCATAATCATTAGAGTGATTGAGATTATGTGTATTATTCTAAATATTGCCCATTCTATTCTATTATCCTCTTGTTTATTACTTCTTCCTCCCACTTTAATAATAAAAGGATTACTTTTATATAAAATATGACAATTTATTGCAAAAATGTTATCATGGATTATTCCCACCATATGATAAATATATTAGTACCGTAAAATCTCAAAATAGCGGGCAGGCGTTATTTCGAAAATCGCGCCCCCTAAAAATAGCATAGGTGGTTTGAAAATAACGCCCATACGCGTTCGGGTAAATATCGGAATACAAAACTCCCGATATGCACCTTATTTACCGCCTTATATAGCATATCAAAAGTTTGTATCCTATATTTACCTGTACCAGAATTAATACTCTATCTCGAAATAACGCGCTATTTCGAGAATTTACGGTACTTATTGATAAAAATAAGTTCAACAGTGGCACAAAGAACTACCCGTCTTATTTAGCATTTTAATAATATGAATCATTGTATTGTAAATTGTAAAAACTTCTATTACAGAACTTATCGCATACACAGTATGCGGTTAAGGTTGTGTTAGTTTAGTTAGTAGTATGGATACGTATACCGTGAGCTACTGCTACAGAACCTACTTGCTATTCCGATGACTACATTATGTGATTAATAATGGGTTGGTTTGCATTGGATTATTGTGATTTCTACGTAGTTAAGGTAGTTGGGTTGTATTTAAATTATTATAACACACAGTTAGCTAATGTAGTAAAATTTGGTGAAATTATAGGAGTTAAAAAAATAATATAGTTGAACATAAAGGATCTTTGAATAAAAGGCCTTAGAATTCATCTAAGAATGCCCAATCTTTGTTCTATTATCTTTGTTCTATTATCTTTGTTCTATTATCTTTGTTCTATTAATGAATAAACTTGGGTAAACCAATTCTTTAGCTAAAACATATAAACTATCATTATAACAATTCCATTCAAAATTTTAATTTATCCTAATGTATCTACTTAATAAAAAAAATTATACTAATTTGTTATAGAACTACCTACATTAAACTCTATTCTAATATTTTGACTCACAAAATTAATTATATTTCACATAGCCCACTGACATTTGTTTGACATATTTCTTGTTTATGAGTATAATAAAGATAATTTATTAATCAGTGTAATTAAAGTAAGTACAACAGTTATGTATATATAAAAGGTTAGGTTAGCAAATACTGTAATTTATCAATCATAAAAACAATTAGAAAAATCGGTACCGCGCGGCAGATCCTCGGTTTTGATTGGTTAAGAGTGACGATCAAAATTATACTAATGAAATTCAGCCGCCCAATAAATGTAAATTGTTCCTGGGCAAATTTTACCATAACCCTGGCTTATTTTTTAAAAATTTCTATTTTTATAATTAAAAAATTGAAAAGTTAATCCCGGCCGGAAATTAGTAAACAATTATGTAATGCGGGTCAAAATTTTGAAGATCCTCGGCCGTTGGCCAATCAAAATCTAGGATCTGCCGCGCGACACCTAGCACGACTGCGCCGCGTAGCTACCTTATTTACTTAAGGTTGAGTCTGTCTATGTAATTTAATTGCTAAAAAAATTTTTTTAACCATCAAATCAGTGATTTTATGTTACGCGAACTTTCTTCTTAAGAAAAACCAAGGGTAATTTACAAAAAAAATTCAAAATTACGGTAATTTAACAACCCTGTCTGGAATGCATTTTTTTAATAGTGCGAAACTATTTATTAGTGAAGTTTAGCCGTAAATGAATAAAAATCTGAAGAATACAGTACCACATACTAGGGTTGCATCGGTCCTGAAAAAGACCGGTCTGGACCGGGACCGATAAGGACCGTGGAACCGTTAAAGGACCG